TCTTGACACCTTTTCTTCCTTTGGCTTCTATTATAATGCCATTCTGTCCTCATTTTTGTCCCATTCTTTCAACTTCTTTTTTTCAGTGTCTATTACCCTATTACAATGATGCTCCTTCTGGTCCACAGCCTTTTTCTTCTCTTCTTTCAGTATTATCATTTCATACTAAAGCTTCAAATATCCCCCATATATTCCCTCTTGACCCTCAAGTTTCTGTATTCATTTCCAACATTTCCCCTAGTTTTCAGATCCCAATTTCCAGCTACCCACAAAGATTATCTAAAAGTTACAAACTTTTTACTACCTCAAATTCATGACTGTCCCACAAAATTGCTTACGCTCCCTATTTCAAGTAACGCTACCAATTCACAGACCGGCCGAGTCAAAGCTAGGAAAACTCGGACTAATCCTCTCAACTCTATTTTGAAACCTCCTGGAATTGTGTGCCATTCTCTCTGTTTTGCTATCACTGTCTTGTTTATTCTCTCTCACCTGCCTGTGGAGGCTTTCTGTCTTCGCTTTCAATTCTTCCTCCACGTTTTCACCAGAGATAATCCAAACACATCAAACTCCTGTTTACAAAACCTTCGCGGGCCCCCTATACCTACAGAATAAAGTTCAAATTCTTTAGCAAGTTTTTCTCAGTGGCATAAATTGAAAAGTTTTTAAGTCAGACAAACCTGGGTTTTCATTTCTAGCTAAATTTGCATACTGGCTTAGCCCACAGTCTTCGTAGTGAAGGGCAGAAGGCAGAGAAGGGAAAAGCAGGGGAGAGAACAGCGGATAACAAGGGAGCAGAGCAGAGCAGAGGGGAGACGGCCGTGTCTCGGGCAGGGGAGGAGTGGATGTTTCCGAGGGACGAGCGTGTTTCCGGGAAGTAAAGTGAGGGAGTCCAGATCTCTGAGGGAGAAGCGGGGACCGAGACGAGGGGGGCTCTCTGTGGAGAGTTGGAGGTCTCAGAAAGGAGCTTTCCGGGGAAACGCGGGACTCCTGACTGAGGTGAGAAAGGTCTCTGCTACGAGGTAACTTCTAATGGGCTCCCGGCCTCCTCCGGGTGAAGGTAGGGGGTGTCCCGGGACCCTGAGGGAAGTGCGAAGTAAGGAGAAAGGGCCAGGCAGGGGGTTCCCCCGCCCAGAGTTAGACCTCCGGAAAGCCCGGCGGTCCGGTCGGGTGCTGAGACCCGAGTGCCAGCGCTCGGGGGCCCAGGAGGTAGCAGCGGCGCGCTCGGGCCGGGATGCCCCGGGTGTGTGCCCCACGCGCTCTCCTGACGTTACCTGAGGCGGGACTGAGCTGCCAGAGGGGTGCCTGCGCGGGCGGGACCGGGAGGCGGAGGCAGAGAGGGAGCATAGTAGCCCTCGCAGCTCTGTGGCGGCAGCGGCTCCTTAGCCTGCCGAGGCGGTGGGGATCCCTCGCGCAGAAGCCGGCGACTCCGCGAGGCTAGCGACGGCGGGGGACGAGGAGGCTACTGCCATGACCCCTCGATCGGGGCCGCTCCCCCCGCCTATTTGGCGGGGCCAGGAGGACGATCCGACCAGTGAGATCTAGAGGGTAGCTGGAAGCTCCGCAGCTCCCAGACTGCAAGGGACTGAAACGCCTGCCCAGCGGGGCAGGGGACCTGGGGGCGAGGCCTTAGGGGGCTCCGCCCCCTTCTCGACTCCTCCCTCAGAGCAGCCAATCTACCGTCAATCCTTGATAAACGAGCTAGTATGATTGTCCAATCAGCGTTAGGAATACCACGTGGTATGAGGGTGGGCACAATGGGCGTCCTGAAAAGCCAATCAGCAGCCCTAGGCGCCAACTCTAGAAGACTAAGAGAACCAATAGGAAGGAAGTAGAGATAAGAACAGAAGCAGCAGTGTGTTGGGAAGGCGGAACCGAGGAGGAGAGAATACACCTGGGGAAACCCGAGTCCAGGAGCCTCTCAGAGGGCGGGGTAGTAAACACGACATTGACCGATCAAAGTGCCAGACACACAAGCGATTAGCAATTGATAAAGTCAATTGAAAATAGACTTGATTGGTCGTAGCTTGTGGGTTGGTCAAGGTATGGCTGAGAAAGGAAACTTCATATGAATAAGGCGTCCTGTAGGATCTTAGCATAGAGAGGGGTAAAACAGATACGTTAACAATTATTAATGACGAAGTAGTAAGGGCAATACGTAGATCTAAACAATATGCTGAAGGAGCAATTCATCTAGACAGATTGGATTTGGTGAAGGCTTAGAGGAGGTAACACTTGAGCTGGCTTGAAAACAGGATTTTGAAAGAGCTTGGCTGGGAATAAGAATTCTATCCAACTATTCAACAGGTACATATTTCCTCACACTCAAAATGCCTGGATCTCAGGAACTCATAATTTCATGCCTAAACAGACTGGAACAGGAGGAGGGCAAGAGCAGGCAAGGCTGGTAAGAGTGTATGTAGCCTACTGCACCAGTATTCCCTGTTGTTAGAGACCTCATCCCAGACATCTTTAGACTAACTTTCTCCTGGAAGAGGAAAATTTTGACAGATGAGTGGGATTAAAATAATTGTAGTGTGCATTCTGAGTGGCAATAACATTTTTTTTTTTTTGAGAGATTTTCACTGTAGGGCGCGTGCGCTCGCCAGACAGACAGAGAGAGACATAGAGACAGAAAGCGAGAAATCACCCCCCAGGGGGGATGGTCACGCCGCAATCCCTTCTCCTCCATTCTCCTCTCGGGATCTTGGGCACGCACGCACACGCGCCCGGCGTGAGTTTTAAGCCACCGGGTCCGGGACACGAACCGCGGTCGACTACGTGGGAGTCCAGCGACATAGCCATTACGCTAACTGCTGGTTCCCAGTGGCAATAACATTTTAAAAAGATGTGTGGTTGGAGGTAAGAATGGAAGACAGAAGAGGTTGGATGTGGGTTGGCTTTAAATGCTGAGTTTGCCCTTTATTTTTTATGCTGTGGGAGCTATTCTTGAGCAGAAGTATCAATATAACCTAAATGGCACTGTTTTAGGAAGAGTAATCGGTAGTTCATAGACTCTAAAGGTAGAAAAATCACCCCAGCCAAGTCCCCCTGGCCTAAAGCTTTTTTGGTGTCATTCTCTGGCAACAAATCATGTGCTGCCACCTGGTGACAGTTCACATATCTTTGTTCCACATTGCTATTATTCTGTTGTGAGAGCCTTGGCAGTCTGCAAGCTTGGCTCCTACAGAGCTTGATGTAAAGCAGTTGATAAGTAAGTAGAGCACTGGGAGGTAGCTCTATAGTTGAGAGAGCCAGTCTCACATGGTCAACCAAGTGATTTGAGTCCCAGCTTCAGAGGCTTGGAAAAACATATCAGATGCACATGTGTACATGCAGGATGGAGAAATGGAAGCAAAGGGGTTGCAGCATGACTATGCCCCACGGGGGGGGGGGGGTGTGCTTTCTCCCTCCCACCATGTCAGATGTGAAAAAATATAAGTCTTTCGAGAGAGTAACCTAAAAAAGAGGGATTTTCTACACTTGTTTCAACAGAAAGATGAGCCTTGTTGGAAATTTTTGTTTTGAGGGGCTAGCATATGGCATAATGGTTACATTGCTGGACTCCCACATAGTCGATCACAGTTCAAGTCCTAGACATTGTAGCTTAAAACACACCAGGCATGTGTATGTGCATGCCCAAAATCTCAGAAGGAGACTGGAGGTGAAGAGATTGTGGCTTGGCCATCTCTCCTGGGAGGTGATTTCTCACTGTCTGTCTCTCTGTCTCTCTGTCTCTCCAGTGAGTGCCTGTACCCTATAGCAAAATTTTCTCAAAAAAAAAAAAAAAAAAAAAACCTGAAGGAAATTTTTTGCTTTTTAAAATGTGTCTGTTTAACCTAGACCTGATTTCTTTTTAAAGCTTTTTTGGTTTGGGGGGCTTTTTTGCCATAGGGCATGTGTGCTTGCCAGAGAGAGAAAGAAAGAGAAAGTGAAAAATCTCCCCAACACCAGGAGAGATAACCACACTACAATCCCTTCTCCTCCATTCTTCTCTTGGGATCTTGGGCAAACATGTACACATGTTCAACCGGATTTTCAAGCTACTGGGTCTAGGACTTGAACTACACCACCAGCCATGTGGGACTCAGCACCTTAACTCCTATGCCACCCACAGGCCCTAAAGATCTTATTTCTTTTCTTTCTTTCTTTTTTTTTTTTTTGGAGAAGTTTTTTGCTATAGGGAGCGTGCACTCACCAGAAAGACAGAGAGACAGAAAGCAAGAAATCACCCCCCTGGGGGGTGGCCACACCTCAATCCCTTCTCCTCCATTCTCCTCTCAGGATCTTGCGCATGCATGCACATGCACCTGGCATGAGTTTAAGCCACCGGGTCGGGGACTCAAACTATGGTCGACTACATGGGAGTCCAACGACATAGCCATTACACCACCTGCTGATCCCTGAGGATCTGATTTCTATCACTCCACTCTCAGCAATCTCCCAATGCTGAACAGAAAGAATTGAGGACTACCCTACAAATGTTCAATCTTGTCCCATCACCTGTCTACTAGTCAGGTCAGGGACTTGAATGTACCCCACATCTAAGTAGTATCTGCCCTATTTGCCTCAGCTATTTTTTTTTAATTTATTCATTCATTTATTTTAATTTGACCAAAGAGAGACAGAGAGAGGAGGCAAAAAAGCAAGACACCAGGTCCGGGACTCAAACCATGGTTGACCATACGCGAGTATCCAGCACCTTAACCACCATGCCACCTGCTGGTCCCTTGCCTCAGCTTTCTGTTATGCTTTTATTTCAGATAAACTGTCTTCTTTCCAGCTAACCTGCACCAAGAACTGGGAACTTTACATGAGTCCACTATAGAATCTTTTTTTTTAAGAGAGAGATTTTTGCTATAGGGCATGTACACTGCCAGAGAGACAGACAGAAAGAAAGGAATTGCCCCCAGAGGAATGGCCACACCACAATCCCTTCACCTCCATTCTCCTCTTGGGATTTAGGGCACATATGCATATGCACCTGGAATGAGTTTCAAGCCAATGGGTCTGAGACTCAAACTGCAATTGGCCATTTGGGAGTTCAAGTGCCTTAACCATTACACCATCTGCTGGCCATACGTATAGCATCCTCTGGATGGAGGATGGATATAACACTATCTTTTTCTTTTCTTTTTCTTTCTTTTTTTTTTTTTTTAGAGAGAGAGATTTTTGCTATAGGATATGTGTGCTTGCTAGAGAGACAGAAAACAAGAAATCACCCCCCAGGGGGTGGGGAGGATGGCCACACTGCAAATCTTCTCTCCATTCTCCTCTCAGGATCCTAAGCACACACATACACATATACCCAGCATGTTTCAAGCTGCTGGGGCGGGGACTCGAACTGTGGTTGGCCATATGGGAGTCCAGTGATGTAACCATTATGCCATCTGCTGGTCTCGAGGGTGACACTATCTTTGACCACATTTAGTAGTGGAAGAGGCCTCAGGGAGAAGCTGCTGCTTCTATAGAAATCATAGACCATATTGTCTAGAACACAAAGCCCAGTTATGGAGGAAGTAGAGTTGCCCTTAGTCAATTAGAAAAATACATTTTCTAGAGAGTAACCAAATGGTGAACAGATTAGAATCATTAGCCACAAAGCATTTTTTAAAAATAAATATAATAGAGGGGACCAGCAGATGGCCTAATGGTTATATTGCTGACCCCACATAGTTGACCATGGTCCAAGTTCCAGACCCCGTAGCTTAAAACTCATGCTGGGTGTAGCTAGCATGGCAGGTAGTGCGGTAGGTAAAGATACACATGGCCAACCATGGTTCAAGTCCCAGACCTGGTGGCTTTCTCTCTCTCTCTCTCTCTCTCTCTCTCTCTCTCTCACTCTATCCCTCTCTGGTCAAATTAAAATAAGTAAATAAATAAAGTTAAATAAATTAATTCTTAAAAAAAAAAAAAAAAAAACTCATGCTGGGCGTGTGTGTGTGTGTGTGCCCAAAATCCCGAGAGGTGACTCGGGGAAAAGGGATTGTGGTATATCCATCTGCCTTGGTGGGTGATTTCTTGCTTTCTGTCTTTCTGGCAAGCACATGTGCCCAAAATTTCTCAAAAACTTAATTAAGAAAGAAATCAATAATAAATCCATATAATAGAAAATATCAGAGGAAGATGCTACAGAAATGCAGACTAGGCTGCTGAGATAATGAGGTATGGACAATCTGGAGTCTCAAGAGGCAGAAGCTGAGGATTAGGAAAGGAAGTCTCCAACTGTCCAGTCCCAGGTCTACCAAAATATCTTATATCCTCTATATCTCCACAGCACTACTGCCCCGGATCAATATCCTACCTCATTTTAGTCACCAGAAAGGCAGCTTTCACCTCTACTCAAGTTCAGAAGATGCAGCTAAAAATGTCTATGAACTTAGATTTCAGAGATACAGGTGGAAGGGAGCCATCAAATCATAGGAAGAAGAAAGGGTAAAGCTGATTCTATGCCAGGTGGATATTGATTTACAAAACAAAACAAGACACATCATGGGGCCGGCAGGTTAGGGGCACTGGACTCCCACGTGGCCAACCGTGATTCGAGTCCTAGACCTGGTGGCTTACTTTCTCCCTCTCTCTCTCTTGCTCTGTTCCTCTTTAGTCCAATTAAAATAAATAAATAAATAAAGGTAAAATACTAAAAATAATTATTGGGGGGGAAAAACACATTGCGGACGGTTATACCATTTTATTGCAATTGGGAGACAGAAACAGGCAGGCAGTGAGAAGCCTCAGTAGAAAGAGCAGATACACGTTAGATCAAGAGAGAAAAGGGGAAAAGAAGGCTTCATCCCACTACTCTTATAAGTCCTTACAGATCACTCAGGAGCATCTTGGGGCCTTGAAGGAACAGGTCTTCTTGCTCAAGACTCTCGGCATGGAGCTGAAAGCTGTTGAGCTCCAGGTTGGAAAAGGTGTACCTCTGGCAATCTATGAGGAAGAAACAAAAAAAATCCATTAGCAAACACTGTGATATGCACAAAACTAGGCTTTGGGTCTGTCTGATAGAGAGGGACATACAGGCCTGACTTGGGAGCAACAGAAATTGATAGATTTACATAGAAAAAGGAAGAGATCCCTTATAGTCAGAGCCAAATAAATAGGCATCTAGCATCCAGGCACCATTCAGACTCTGCCTCCCCCAGAATGGGGATCCCTGCCCTTACCCCCACTTAGCTTCCTTAAAAGTTCCCTGCTATTGTTACTGTCTGGAAGACTGACTTCAGAGCTAGATGAAGAAAGAGACATGGAGAAAGTGGTGGCCAGGGGCAGCTTAGATTGAAAGACATGAACAGAGGTCCTGGAAAAGGGATCAGAATCAGAGATAGAGACAGTAATGATGAGTCAGTCAAGGGGGCCCTCCCAGCACAGAACTCTTCTCCTTCCAGAGGCAAGGACTCCAGCCTCTTCTCCCTTTACCATCCAAACATAGATCCCTTGGTGACACTGTATCAGGTAAAGAATACCCAATGCAGGGGAGCAGAACGGAGTGGGGGCAGCAAGTGGCATGGTCGTTGAGGTGCTGGACTCCCACATGATCAACCACAGTTCAAGCCCTGGATCTGGTGGCTTGACACTCACATGGGGCCCAAGTGTGTGCATGCCCAAAATCCCAAGATGAGAAAGGAGGAGAAGGGATTTTGGCATGGCCATCTGCCTGGGGGGTGATTTCTCACTTTCCTTCTCTCTGTCTCTGTCTCTCTCCAGTGAGTACATGTGCCCTATGGGGGAAAACAAACAAACAAACAAACAAAAAACTAAAGAACAAAACCAGTGCTATCCTTGTGGACTACATCCAGATACTCATACTGCCCCTACCAGCCCAGGTCAAATCTGGGATAACTGAATTTGGTCACTAGTGCCTGACCTCAGTGGAACAAATCCCCTCTACTGCTACAGCACTCACACCCCCTGCCCTGAAGAAGTGATGCTCCTGCAGAGCATCCTGGGCCTTCGTCCTGGTAATCTCCAAAGTATGACCCTTGCTTTATTGGACACTCTACAGCTGCTCCAACATCTATCAGACCATAGGCCCAGGTAGGACCAAACCTCTCCATCTCTAGGAAGAAATCCCCTCCCCACAACTGGCCTCATCAGCACACATGGAATCCTTTTGGAGGCAAGGACAGTTTCTCAAGGCGTGGACCAGAAGTATTAGGAAGAAGAGCTTCAGTGAGAGGCAGAGTCAGAAAAGGGAAGAGAGGAAGAGATGTGAGCAGGGGAGGGTATTATCCTAGCCTGACAGAACAGGATAGACACAGAAAGGAAGGGACCTCTCTGGGGAGTATGCAAAGGCAGGTCTGATACTGGTCCCACCTTCCAGCTGCATGCCTGAGCCTGCCGCCCCTCAGTCATCTGTTTCAGCAGCAGCTCCTGGTGCTGGCCTACAGATGACAGAGAATGTAAGAAGCTGCTCCCAACTTCTTTCCTTGTCCCTCCTTGCTTATGACCAGCCTGATTTTCTAAACTGAGACAGAAGCATTCTAGTCCAGCTGTTGGGAAGCATCCAAGCTTACTGAAGAGACTAAACTCACACCATGAGAGGCAAAGAGCAAGACAAAATATTTGGCCAGACTTCTCAGTAGCTCAGGCAGCAGAGCTATGATCACTTACTGGGAAAGTAAGAAAGCTTTCCAGAAAAGAAGACAAGGGAACACATACTCACCCCTAATCTTTTACTTACTCAGTTGGTCCCGAAGCAACTTCAGTTCCTCCAGCAAAACCTCTGACCCCTCCCATAGCAGCTGCCGCCTGCAGAAGTGACAGCAGTATCATTCTAGAGTCCAGCAAGTAGCCCTCTGAGGAGACCACCAGTCTTGCAGAGAGCCAAGAGCTCAGACGCCGCATGAAGGTGAGGCCTTGCCCATTACTTACTCCGTCTGCAGCTCTTGGTGAAGGACACTGGTAGTACTGTACTTTCCTGGTCCTGTTTGCATCTGGGCTTGGCCTTGAGCTTGGGCCTGTTCCAGCACCTGACTCCTTAGGCCCTGCAGTTCCCTTCTCAGCCCCTCCAGGCGTTGCTCCAAGAGTAGAGTCCTTCCCTCTGGGCCCCCCTGCAGCAACCTTAATGACGCTATAGTGGAATAAGTTGAGAGCCAGCCTCTCTTAGGAGATATGATCCCAGACACTCTACTTGCAAATTAAGATGCATGTGCACACACAACAGATATGTGACAAAAAGAACTGGCCAGATACCTTCTAGGGCACTGATTTGGTGTTTCTGTTGTTCTCGCTCTTCCAGCAGGCCCTGCACGGCCTGCTTTAGTGCCTCAGTCACCTACTCAGATAGAAAAAACACACAAACTAGCGTGAGAGACCTTCCCAACCCGTGTATTCTCATCTCCTACAAATACCACATATACGAGGGAACTTCAATAATTTTGTGCAAAAATTCAATTAAAATACCAGTTTATTTTGGTGCAAAAAAAAAAAAAAGTATTTTCCATGTAGACCTTTCAGACACACTTAAAGAGTTCAAGCCTCACCTGAGCCTGAGATCGAAGCTGGGACCGGAGAATATTAACTTCATCCCAGAGAGAAGATGGACTATAGATTCCACCCCAGCTCAACCTGTCTGGGCCACTGGGTGTCTCTAGAGCCCAAGGCTGTTGAGCTTGGACTCCTGGCTGGGAAGGCATGTGCTGAGGGAAAATCCAGGCCCCTGCCAGGTCTCCTACTGAGAGAATAAGTAAGAGACAAGTGCAATTTCTCTGTGTGGGAGCACAGAGTTGAGGAAAAGAAAGAAGTGAAATTTTGAGGTAGTGGATTGTACAAGCACTGGGGGAAGGCGGGTCCTGGTAAGAGAAAAAGCTGGGGAGTAGAAAGGGATACTACGTACCTGCAATGGAGGCCCCAAGGGGATACAACCGCTGCTATAAAAGGAACAATTGCACAGGCCAATGAGCTCTGAGTGTCCCTTAACCTGCACACGCCCCACCCCAAAAACTGAGGGCCTCCAGCACTGCCTCACCTTAATCCGGGCCACATTTCCATCAGTAGCATCAAGAAGTGCATCGAGCTGCTCAGACCAGCTCAGGCTCCTGCTCATACCTTGTGACAGAGATCTGGCTCCCTAGCGTCTTGTGCCCTTTGCTCTCCCAGCGAGAGATACCCAAGTTACAGCCCCCAAAAATGTCACAACAGGAGATCGAAAGGGGACAGTGGTGATGCAATACTAGGGACAGGGATGCCAGTCAAACCAGAACTGTGACTGGGGGACTAGGCAAGGGAGCAGGTGCTCTTGGGAAACTGAGAGAAAGCCAGATATATTGATACGCAGATATCAGGTGAGAGCTGAAGGCACTGAATCTTGGCCGACACTGTCCCAAAGGCAGGACCCTGGGGCCATGCCACCAAACCTGAGCCAGCAACTACTGCCGCCGCCGGGTTCAAACCTCCTAGTAGGCCGGGAAAGTCTGACTTCAGACTGGCTGCCGCAGCGCTGCCTGGGAAACTGAGTTCTCTCCTCGCAGACACAACGGGCGATGGAGGCGGCAGAACTATGTTTCCCTGGAAGCGACACGGGCCTTCACACCCCACCGTGAAGCTTTTCGGGAAACCGAGTCTTCCTGATTCTGTATGGGTCGGTTCCAGGGACCAAACGAACTACGAATCCCAAGATGCATCGCGAGAGCCAGCGCGGGCCCCGGCTGGTCCCAGTAGTTCCTGGGAAATGGAGTCCGAGCAACCCGCACCCGTAAAGGCTCGGTTTGCTCTAGGACTCCACTCCCCAGCGACCTCAGCGTGTAGCGTGCACCATGGACCCGCGTGTCGCAGAACTAAAACAGAAGATTGAGGATATACTGTGTCCTTTTGGCTTCGAGGTTTACCCTTTCCAGGTTGGTTTATCCCTCCTGCGGTTCTTGGACGAGGTGTATAATTGGCCTCGGTGCAACCGATGTGCGGCTCTGGGAACCTTCTGATCCCACCGAGTCCCTCTGGCCTGGGTCCATGTGACAAGGACAGAGTGTCAGCGGGGACTTGGATTAAAAAGGTAGAAAAGCGTCGCGCGTTTGTCTTTTTACCTCCGTATGATGCCGGATTGGTGAATGGTAAACGATACCATATGATTCAGTAACCTGTGTGGCTCTGATTGTTACCTACATAATTTATAGAAAGAAGGGGACCTGTGAAGCCAGAGGCACCTGGGAAGCTTCGTCAAGGAGTTAGGAAGGGCAAGGCCTTAAAGATTTGTATGACTATGATTGCGGTCAGCTGAGGAAAGAATGGCATTCCCGATGCTGAACAAGCAAACAATTAACTGGTTTGTTCCATCTATGAACAGAAGGATAATTCATATTGCTGCCCATCATCAGCACTGAACTGGGTATAGAAACTGAGCAGCCGCCTGGTACAGATATCTCTGCACTCTAATTCCTGCCTCCACCCCATCTGCCACAGCCTCCCTTTGCCCCTTGTTTTCAAAAGGTCCATTTCCCCCACATCAGTGCCCTATACACTGAACAGTATACTTAAGACACATTTAAATCAACTCACCTTTGAGCTCTTTGCCTGATGCCTAAGAAAGCCCACTTAGAACGCCTTCCATTGAGTGGCCCATAGCAATGGGGTAGGATACAGAAGGAGAAGTAGATTGGGTCTAGCTTGAGAGAGGATTTGCAGAAAAAATGGAATTTACTTTAAATGAAGTGGTTTCAAAGAGTTCTGAAAAAAATGAAATTAAAGTACAAGTTTATTCTGGTGCAAAAACATTTTTGCAATTCATGCATAGTTTTTTGTTCTTAAGAATTATTTTAGGGCCGGCCGGTGGCGTGGTGTTTAAAGGCACTGTACTCCCACATGACCGACCGTGGGTTAAGTCCTGGACCTGGTGGCTTCCTTTCTCACTTTCCCTCTCTCTCTCTCTCTCTGTCTCTCTCTCTCTGATCAAACTGGAAAATAATAACAATAATAAATAAAGTAAAATAAAAAATAATTCTTTAAAAAAAGTTATTTTATTGGGCCAGCAGGTGGTATAGTGGTTAAAGGCACTGGACTCCCACATAGTGTCAGACATGTCAGATTGCTATCTCTCTCTCTCTCTCTCTCTCTCTCTCTCTCTCTCTCTCTCTCGTCAAATTAAAAAAACAAAAACATAAAAATAATGATAAATAAAAGAAATACTTTTTAAAATTATTTTATCTTTACTTATTTACTTATTTTAATTTGGCCTGAGAGGGACAGAGCAAGAGAGCTAGAGGGAGAGAGGAAAAGTGAGAAAGCAATCTGCCAGTTTTAGGACTTGAACCACTTTTGGCATGTGTGAGTCCAGCCCCCCCAACCACCATGCCACCTGCTGGCCATAGTTTTTTTTTTTTTTATTGTTTATTTCACTTTATTATTTGAAAAAAAATTATTTTTTATTTTAACTTTAGTTATTTAGTTTATTTATTTTAATTTGGCCAGAGAGGGACAGAGAAAAAGTGAGAAAGCAAACCACCAGGTCCAGGACTTGAATTATGGTCAGCCATGTGGGAGTCCAGCACCCTTAACCACCACGCCACCTGCCGGCCCCTATTATTATTATTTTTAACTTGACCAGAGAAAGACAGACAGAAAGGGAAAGTAAGGAAGCAAGCCTCCAGGTCTAGGACTTGAACTGTGGTCAGCCATGTGGGAGCCCAGTGCTTTAACCACCATGCCACCTGCCAACCCCCATGCATAATGTTTTCAGAAATACATTTTTATGCTGGTTCATAGCTGATAGGTTAAGGCACTCAGATCCAATAGGGCCAACCATAGTTCAGTTTTAGCATTAGTGGCTTAGAAAAACATGTTATGTTAGGGGACCAGCAGTTAGCGTAATGGCTTTATCGCTGGACTCCCATGTAGTCGACTGCGGTTTGCATCCCGGACCCAGTGGCTTAAAACTCACGCCAGGTGCATGTGTGTGGGTGCCCAAGATCCCGAGAGGAGAATGGAGGAGAAGGGATTGTGGCGTGGCCATCCCCCCAGGGAGGTGATTTCTCACTTTCTGTCTCTCTATCTCTCTCTGTCTGTCTGGCGAGTGCACATGCCTTATAGCAAAAACCTCTCCAAAAAAAAAAAGTTATGTTAGGTGCACATGCATGTATATGTATACCCCAAATTCTAACAGAATAGAGAAATTGAGATGAGTTGTTTGTGACCACACCCACTGGAGGGTGCTTTCTCCCTTTCCCTCTGTTTCTTCCTGGTAAATACATGCATGTGTCTTCTGGCAATTAAAAAAATTATATATGGGACCAGCAGTTGGTGTAATGGCTATGTCTCTTGACTCCCATGTAGTCAACCACGGTTCGAGTCCTGGACCCAGTGACTTAAATTCACTCCAGGTGCATGTGTGTGCGTGCCCAAGATTCCGAGAGGAGGATAGAGAGAAGGGATTGTGGTGTGGCCATCCCCCCTGTGGGGTGGTGGAGGTGGCATGGAGGTTACAACTCCATGTCCCACATGGCTGACTGCGTGGTTCAAGTCCCAAACCCAGTGGCATTAGAATCATGCTGGGGGCGCAATTGTACAGTAGAACTGCAGGTGACCAGAGCCATAATGTCAGTAACTTGTTCATCTGTCCATGTCATCGTGGGGAGGGTGACTGGGACAGCAATACAAAAAACTGTTAAAGTGGGGACCAGCAGTTAGAGTAATGGCTATGTCGCTGAACTCCCATGTAGCCAACCGCAGTTCGAGTCCCGGACCTGGTGGCTTAAACTCACACTAGGCGCGTGTGTGTGCGTACCCACGATCCCAAGAGGAGAATAGAGAAGGGATTGCAGTGTGGCCATCCCCCCTGGGGGGTGATTTCTCGCTTTCTGTCTCTCTGTTTCTCTTTCTGGCGAGCGCACGCGCCCTATAGCAAAAACCTCTAAAGTGAGGGTGATCAGGCTTGTTCTGAATCCCTATTTATTGAAGTATTTTAATAAGAGGAAAACCTACTTTGCCCACGATGCCCTTCAGCAGTGCACAGTGAAGGATATCGTGCTTCTCAACGCTTTACCTGTTCCATGAACAAAGCACATGAAACATCAACTGGCTAAGATTGTTTTCAAAGTTGGAAAAGTCATAGATCCAGTGACAGGAAAACCCTATGCGGGAACTACCTATCTGGAGAGTCCAGTCAGTTTGGAAACCACTCACCTAACCAAAACTCTAGAACTCACTATCTCTTCAACATATGAAGGAGGGCTGGAAGGGACCAAAGAGAAAGATTGACATATTCATTTTATGGGAAAAGAAAATGTTCTCAGTTTTATCATAAACTACCCAGTTACTCTTGTGCTATATTATTAAATAACTAAAATTAAATGAAGAGCCTGTTATAATTTTTCATAAAGAGTTATGGTCATGTTCCAAATGTTCTTTTCAGTAAACATGCTTTTGTGTTCACTTAGTGTACCTAGCAATCTGCAGCATTGTTTTGTAAGTGTACCATTTTAAAAGATAGATAAGGTTTGTTTGTTACTTTTTCATTCAAGGGAATCTTAAGTTAGAACCCTTATTTTGGAAGAACACTTTTTGAGGATTTTTTTTTTTTTTTGGAGAGGTTTTTGCTATAGGGCGCATGTGCTCGCCAGACAGAGAGAGACAGAAAGACAGAAAGCAAGAAATCACCCTCAGGGGGGTGGCCACGCCGCAATCCTTTCTCCTCCATTCTCCTCTCGGGATCTTGGGCACGCACCCACACACACCCGACATGAGTTTATTTATTTATTTATTTTTTATTTTTTTTTGAGCGGTTTTCTCTATAGGGCGCGTGCGCTCGCTAGACAGACAGAGACATAGAGACAGAAAGCGAGAAATCACCCCCCAGGGGGGATAGTCACACTGCAATCCCTTCTCCATTCTCCTCTCGGGATCTTGGGCACGCACGCACACGTGCCCAGCGTGAGTTTTAAGCCACCGGGTCCGGGACGCGAACTGCTGTCAACTACGTGGGACCGTGATCGACTACGTGGGAGTCCAGCGACATAGCCATTATGCTAACTGCTGGTTCCCCCAATGTGAGTTTTAAGTCACCAGGTCCAGGACGCGAACCGCAGTAGACTACATGGGAGTCCCGCAACATAGCCATTACACTAGCTGCTCGTCCTGGGAGAACACTTTTTGATATAAACAGATAAAATCACGTTAAGCAATATTTTTGTTCTATATTTTAACTAAATTTTTCCTGATTTTATCAGTTCCAAAGGGAAATAATTAACATGCTTGTAAGTCAGACTTTTTCAGATTAAGCCATATTAATAGGAATGTTGACATGATGGAAAGAAATAAAATTTAAAATTCTATGTTACTTTTTTAATATCCTAGGCTAGATCAAGTAGGTGTGAATTGAGATCTGACACACGTAAGTTGTAAGGCTTTTCACATGGATTTGAGTTGGAGAGAGTTTTGTTGCAGTTCATTAATAAACTGTGATAACTTTTTGAGGAAAAAAAAAATGAATCATGCTGGACATGTTTGTGCATGCCTGGAATCCTAAGAGGAGACAAGAAGGGATTGTGGCATGGCCAACCCCCATGGAGGGTGATTTTTCAGTTTCCCTCTCTGTCTTTTTTTGGTGAGCGCACACATCCAGTAACAAAAACTAATAAATAAATAAAATAAAACACACACCAGGTTCTCCCTCCTCACGTCAGCCTTTCAGTTACAAGACTTAGCTTCTAAGAAGGCCTTTTCTAATTTCCAAAGACTGTCAACTGACCCTGTCTTAACACTAGTCACATAGTCAGTTTCTATTATTCTTAATTGTTCATGAACTCCCTGCCTCTTTCTAAATTCCCTATCTAATTCAGATGAGTTCTCTCATCAACATACATCACACAGCAGTGAAAATTCATGAAATCAATGAGACAGAAGCTAGGACAAGCTATATGAGGCCTGAAATGTCAGGCTAAGATACAGGCCTGGCTAAGGCCTAGGCTAGCCCTCCAGCTTGGCCTGAACGTTCTCTCTATTCCAGGTGGCATGGTACAATGAACTTCTGCCACCAGCCTTCCACCTGCCCCTGCCAGGACCTACTCTGGCCTTCCTGGTACTCAGCACACCTGCCATGTTTGACCGGGCCCTCAAGCCTTTCTTGCGGAGCTGCCATCTCCAACCCCTGACTGACCCTGTGGACCAGTGTGTGGCCTACCACTTGGGCCAAGTTCGAGAGGTGAGCAAGGCTCAGCTTTTCCCCAGCTCTTCCAACTACAGCTGCTTCCACCTCCCCAGACTCAATGCAAGGTCTAGGTGTAGAGCTGAAAGCCACTTCATAGGTAAAATACTCTAAAGCCAGTCTTGACATTCAGTGATCTCTCCCCATTCTTCAGCCACCTTTCTCGGACACACTCTCAGTCTTAAGTCTCAATCACTCTATACTAATAGGCAACTATTTAAACCTCTGACCAGACTTTTAGACTCCAGACAGACTAGGAATGAGTCCATGCCCCCAGGCATTGCTCACCTGCCTTTATTCTAGACCTACACACTTTAGGCTATCTTTGGGGACAGAAAAATAATCCCCCACCACATGTTCACGTATGCACATACATATGTGCACACACACTGGGTCTCCCCTCCAAGCTGGGACGTGTCTTCCTACACAAGAATGTGTGGCCCAAGCTAGGCCGTCACTCCTTATAATGGTTTCTGAGCAAGACTTTGTGTATTTCCCTTCAAACGTGGGTCCTCCTGGAAAGAACTATTAACTTTCTTCACAATGAAGGCCCCAAGTTAAGGTCATGTCTTCCCTTCAAAAAGGACTTCTGAGAATAGGCCCACATTAACACCACAAATCAGGCTCCCTAGGACAAGTCATGACTCTCTTATTCTCTGTCCCAGAACCTCCCAGAGCTGCAGGTGGAAATCATTGCTGACTATGAGGTACACCCCAACCGGCGCCCCAAGATTCTGGCCCAGACGGCAGCCCACGTGGCAGGAGCTGCTTACTACTACCAACGACAAGATGTGGAGGCTGACCCTTGGGGGACACAGGTCAGAGGGCAAATGTGAATGAGTGGGGACTGAAAGTTGTAAAGGCCCCTCAAGATAGCCCTGCGAAGTTTCCCCTCCCCTAAAGGAGTTGGTAGACACAGCCCAGGACAAAGAAGCTGGGCCCTGGCCAAGGACCAGCCTCATCACATTGCTTCCTGGCACTTACCTGGGGACATAGCAGGTCAGAATTCCAGTCTATTCATAAAACCCTGTAAGGGCTGGAGCAGCAGATGGTATAGCAGTTAAGATGCTAGATCCTGCATAGCCAACTCCATGATTTGAGTCCTGGGCCTGATGGCTTGAAAACACAACCAGGCACGTGTGCGCACATATCCAAAATCCCAAGAATGGAGAAGCGATTGCAGTGTAGCCATCACCCATGGGTGTGTGTGTGTGTGTGGTGTGTGTGTGTGTGTGTGTGTGTGTGTGTGTGTGTGATTTCTCACTTTCTCTGGCGAGCACACACTATGACAAAAATCTAAAATAAATAAATAAAATCCCTATGGGGTTACCTCAGAATGAAGGGGGCAGAGCAGTGATCAGACCAGTGCTAAAACTGGGAAGTTGACTTGAGTCTCAGCATAAGGGAGCCCTTCCTCAAGCTTAGAATGAAATTATGGAAGGGTTGTCTGGAAGAGGGGGACAGAGGAATCAGCATCAAGTGGGAACTAAGTGAACCACCATAGCAGCGATGGTAATTGGGTTTGGTACCAAGATGACCTCCTTGACCCCTTGCTTTTCTTACCATCTCCTCAGCACATATCTGGTGTGTGCATACACCCCCGATTTGGGGGCTGGTTTGCCATCCGAGGAGTAGTGTTGCTGCCAGGGATAGAGGCACCTGACCTACCACCCAGAAAGCCCCCTGACTGTGTGCCTGCAAGAGCTGACCGCATCACCCTGCTTGAAGGCTTCAATTTCCATTGGCGTGACTGGACTTACCGAGATGCTGTGACACCCCAGGAGCGCTACTCAGAAGAGCAGAAGACCTACTTTTCCACTCCCCCTGCCCAACGCTTGGCCCTTCTGGGCTTGGCCCAGCCCTCACAGGAGCCTTGCCCTGCATCCACTGAGCTTCCCCTAACCATGTTCATCTCCAAGAAACAGAATCACAGAAAACCTCGGGGCTGGCTCAGCCCTAAAGGCTCACCTCCTGAATCCCCAGGCCCTTGATACCTTCCTTCCCTGAGGGAGCCCTTATTTATAAGCGGTACTTGCTGGGATTGGGACCTCTTTGGCATGTGTAGAACAAAGAGGTTCCATTTTGGCTATAAGATGACTATTTTTGATAATCAAGATTTTCAGTGCAAGACGAAAAGGTTCCTTTGGTCAAGACATCAAAGACAAGGCAGCTCTAGAATTCCCATCTGCCTTGGAATATGAGGTCTTTGTATTTTTTTCTTTTTTGAGACTGGTTGCCCAGGCTGGCCTCAAATTGTCTTCCTGCCTTGGCTTGCTCAGGCGCTGGGGTGAGGCATTGTGCCACTTGCCTAATAGAAGTTAACACTTCTATGCAGTGCTCCAAGGTAAGAGCCTGAGGGCAACTGTGCCCTGAATAGTACCTCACAAGGTTGCTGTAGGGACTAAATAAAATATGTAAGTAAATAAATAAAATATGCACTCTAAAATGGTACCAAGCATATAAGCAGAGATGTTGGCTGTTACTGAAGGCTCTGGGAATTTTGTAGTGCTACTCACAGGTAGTCTAGGTTCTGAAGGGGTGGGCAGCTTGAAGTGTCTGCAAGGGTACCATGTAACACACAGGGACTGTTGGTTGGATCCAAATCTATCATAGCCCTAGCTACTTCCTCCCAGCTGAAAGTCCCCCTCAGGACAGTAATATAGATGAGGGTCTAAAAAGACTAGCCTCCAATAAAGACCAGTCCCCAGGGAAGGTGAAAGTGTCTTTTTTGTTTTTTGGGGGAGAGTTTTTGCTATAGGGCATGTGCACTTGCCAGAAAGACAGAGACAAAGCAAGAAATCACTCCCCCAGGGGGGATGGCCATACAGCAATCCCTTCTCCATTCTCCTCTCAGGATCTTGGACACACAAGCCTGGCCTGAATTTAAGCCACTGGGTTCGGGACTTGATCCATGGTTGACTACATGGGAGTCTAGTGACCTAGCCATTACGCCAACTGCTGGTCCTGTGTCATTGTACTTGTGTTGGGCTCTACCTAAGGCCACCAGTCCTGTGTCTTCCTCTCCTTTCAGTTCCGAAAGGACAGAACTTTGTTTTGTTTTTGCCATAGGATCCATACATTTGCTAAAGACAGTGAGAGGGAAAGCAAGAAACCACCTGAGAGAGATGGCCGTGCTCCTACAGGGTTCCAGGCACACACACCTCAGGTGTGATTTAAGCCACTAGGTTCAGGACTCAAATTGTGGTCAGCTATGTGGAAATCCACCATGCAACTTGCTGGCTCCCCGGCTCATTTAGTCGAAGAGGCTACCACTTACCACCAGAGGCCAAGCTTCTGGTTCCCCCGCAGCACTCACTAGAGCACATGCCCCAGTCATCTCATTAGGACCTTAACTTGCAACCCAGCATAGTTTAAATTCTAACTTGGCCACCTGCACAGCAGCGTGTATCTTCTCTTTCCCAGATACAGTAAAACAAAATGTCACACCTTGCTTCAGTTCTGTTACCATCTATTTGCATTTCCCCTTAACAACTTCTCGATTCTGAAGCAACTCTCACTCCTATTTCCCCTAAGGAGACAGAGCAAAAAGTAAATTTCTTTTAAATCAAAGGCTAATGTCCCCCTGGGTCAGCCAGGTAGTGTGGTGGTTAAGGTGGCTGGATCCTATGTTGCCAGTGAATCCAGGACCTAGCAGCTTAAAAGACACACCAGAGAAGCATGCATGCAGGCCTCAAATCCCAAGAGAATGAAGAGCAGTCACCCTCCCCTGGGGTTGGGGACTGTGCTTTCCCACTTTCTCCTGCCCACTGTCTCTCTCCAAAGAGCACATATGTCCTCCAGCAAATGGGGAAAAAAAAACAAAGGCTTATGTCCTCTAAAATAATGAATCATAAAGGTCTCAGGTTCAAGTTTAATAGAAACTACAAAAACATCAACGGGCTGGCGTCCCACTACTGGTACATCATACACATCAGATGGCCTGCCCCATAAGACAACTCAGGCCATTTCCACCAATGAAAAGAAAAGGTGGCCTCCCCAACCCACATAGGACAGGCCTGTCGTGGCCCACACATCTTGGCTGAAACTAAGTCTTACATTTTAAACACGAAAAAAATACAAAAGAGGTCTTGTTCTCATGGCTGCCCACTGCAGCCCAGCACTATATTGGTCCAGTGCTCACTTCTGCTTGGAGAAATATTCTTTGCTCTTTTGGACATCAGGCTTGATGGTATCACTGCCAGGCTTCCAGCCAGCTGGGCATACTGCAAGAGAAAAGTACCAGTAATTAACAACCCAGCCAGTGGTATGTATGACCATGCTCTCATGGAGGGAAGGGGTGTCTAAAATCCAATCTGAGGACTGGCCTCATGGCCTGCTGATTAAACAAACCATGTCTTCCACATGTCTGACCTTGCAGTTCGAATCCCAGCCCTGGTGGCTTGAAAATCATGCTGGAGGCATGTTACCCAAATTAAAATAAATGTTAAGTAAAATTAGTAATTCCTTTTTTCCCCCCTAAAGAATGATTTTATTTAACTTTATTTTTAATTTGACCAGAGAGGGACAGAGCAAGCAAGAGAGGGGAAGTGAGAAAGCAAGCCACCAAGTCCGGGAATCAAATGGTGGTTGGCCATGTGGAAGTCCAGTGTTCTTAACCATCATGCCACCTGCTGGCCCCAAAATTAAATAACCCTTTAAAAATAAATTTTAAAAAATTCTTGAGACCAGCAGTTAGAATAATGGCTATGCCACTGGGCTCCCACGTAGTTGATTGAGTTCGAGTCCCGGACCTGGTGGCTCAAAACTCACGCCAGGCGCGTGTGTGTATGCCCAAGGTCCTGAGAGGAAAAAGGAGAAGGGACTATGGCGTGGCCACCCCCCCAAGGGGGTTATTTCTCGCTTTATGTCTATCTCTCTCTCTGACAAGCACACACACCCTATAAAGAACCTCTCAAAAAAAAAAAAAAAAAAAATCTTAAAAGAACAAAAAACAAACAAAAACCTAAAAAGAAATAATGCTGGGTGTGTGTAAATGCATATCCAAAATTTTGACAGGATGGGAAAATGGAAACGGGATGGTGACATGACCATACCCTTTTAAGGGGTGCTTTCTCCCTCTCTCAACACCAAGCACACATCCCATCTAACAAATTAAAAAATAGTACTTTCTGGACTCCCACATGGCTGACCATGGTTGAGTCCCAGACCTGGTGGCTTGTCTCACTCCCCACATTTCTCTCTGGCAAGCATATGTGCCCTATAACAAACTGAAAATAGTAATAATGATAACAAATAAAACAAAAATTAAGGGGAAAAATAAATCAGATCTGGGGCTAGTCGGTGACATGGCGGTTAAAGCAGCTGCATCCCACATGGACAAGGCACGGTTCAGGTCCCAGGCACAGTGGCTTGAGAAATATGCGAGGCACATGTGCATACATACCCAAAATCCTGAAAGAAGAAACAGAGAGGGGAATGACAGCCCCCCCCCCCCCCCCCCCCCGCCCAGCGGTTTCTCTGTCTCGCACAAGTGCCCATGCCTTCTAGCAAATTAAAACAAACAAAAATGATCTGAACCCTAAAAAGTCTGAATTCTCAGAAACCAAGAAACCTACCCTGTAATCTAAACTCATTCAGCCTTTTAGTGTAAGGTTAATACTTTACAAACATTATGTAATTTCATCTTTACCAAGGCCCTAATATATTACTAGACCTAGTTTATTCATAGTATCCGAAATTTAAAGAAATTAACTTCTACTGTATGTTTTGTTCCAAAATTAAGGTAATGACAAAAGTTGATGGCAAGGGCCTTTTTGGCCGGAACCGCCACCTTCCAGTAATTAACCAAAA